TGATCGTTCCCTACTCACTCATTCCGAATTAAGAGAAAAAACAGTAACTGAATTTGCTCCCCAAAATAATTTGCTTTGCCTTTCCCTTCGATTCTTAATTCTATCGGTTGCTTGAGGTAGATATAGTGTAAAGGACTTCCCTTTAGTTACTGATTTCAATTACACCGTTGCATTCCCTGTGCCTTATAGAAACTTGCGAAGTGGATATGGAGTGGATTAGATGTGACTTCATTATTCAAAAAGCCGAGTAACACTTCACAGTTATAAAGTTGTGGCCCTCAACTTCAAGTTTTTTGGTTTTATCAATCGTGTTCTCATTTGGCCTAAAGCAAAAAGGAACAAACCACTTGTACCTTTTAGGGGCATTTAACCTTTTGGTGACGGCCGGCGAGCAGCGAAAAACCGCATTTTTCACCAGTTCCTCTTCTTTAGACTATTCTTCGGCTAATTAGCGTTTGAATGGCTAAAAACGAGTTTTGCAAGAAAAAAAGGCGTATTTTCCGACTAATCTGAGGTAGTTAAACAGCCTTTTTTGTTTTTCAAGCACGCGTGAATCTATTTCGATCTTTCTCTCCCGCTCTCTTTTTTCGCTTTTGTTCCTTCTTTATTGGTGGTTTTGTTGCCCACTTTATCGTCTTTCTTTGCATGGAATTGTGGCTGGTTAACTTTTTAGGAAAGGGACAAGTTTAATTTTCTAAGAGTGGTATGTAAACAGCGAAGTTGGCAGTGGATTTTTCGCCAAAATGTTACACCTTTTTTGTGATTGTCTCTGTCAGGATTAGTCAGAACATCCAAAACGAGGTATGGCTGGAAAGATCTATCTTTGCTGATGTTGTTGCTTACCAATTTATTCATAATAAACTTAACTGAAAACTAAATGGGTCCAGGGGATAAATGTGTACATCGCTCCATATGGGGTCGTGTACGACCCTAGCCGCCCGAAAAGGGTTAATCATCCGCTAGTTAAATAAAACACTGGCAATAAAATTCAACCTGACTTGCCTTTTTTTTAGATTGTTCAGGCTTAGGGAAGAGTCTCTCGTTCAATCAGAGACAGGTGCTGCTTCATTCGACGTTGTCGTGGCTAGTCCCCGAAAGATGAGCCAGCCTTGACTCTTGAAATATCAGGAGTCACTGAAAAATCCTATCCAGCTACCAAAAGCACTGTACCGGTGACTCGGGGGGCAACCTATAACAACTCAAACCAAAGGTACAGTTATAGTATTATTTATTCAGTTTTCCTAAGGAAAGTGAAAAAATTAGAGGACTCAGAAAATTGTAAAAGCTAACCAAAGAAGTGCAAATAAACTGCGGTTGAGGTTTTTATTTAGCGTATGCATGGTGTTGCCTTTTTGGGGGTGTTGTCTCGCTTTGAAAGAGTTCATTAACTTTTAGTCAAGATCAAATTATGACTATCTTAGAGAGCTTACATTAGGTGGCAATTAACGTTAACTAGCCGCAGGAAATAATAAGATAAAACAATAATAAAAAAAATAGTAAATTAATGTTATCCCGCCAACCGTAACTGCATCGATTGCGAAGTGATGGTTTCTCAATAGCTCTGTAGGGAAATTAAACACACAAAGTGACGGTCTGGTGCTAACATCAGAAGATTTTATACTACGAAAACGTGAACTGCATTTAATAATTACTCTTGCAGAACGTCCACTAACGTCCACCAGACCTTGAATTCAAATTGAGACAACTTCCTTTCCGAAACTATAACTGCATCTCCTAGAATAAACTGCTGGAATATAATGATTAATCCCAAGAGAGGGACGTGTAAACCGCGACTGATACTCAAGATGTTGATTAATAATAGGCCATTTGCACGATGGCATCATTTTACTGCTGTTACAAGAATCCTTCATATCAAAATTTCGTAATCCCAGCGATTAGGTTTGAATGACAAAAGCCCTAATTTGCACAAGAAAGCGACCCCTAAGGATTCTGACACTGGTAAAAATGGCGTCCTCGTACAAATAGCCTATTGATGATAAAAAAAAAAACCAAATCACAAATAACACAAATCTTCATCTCAATCTCTTTTTAAAAGTATAAGTAACTAGTACTAGGCTGGGAAATGAGAAACGGATGTCTTTTATCATCTCATATGTGTGAGAAAACAGTTAGATTAAAGTAAAGTTAACCAACCTTTGACTCCAAATTCAAGCACCTGATGTCTTTCATGAGACCACACAAAAGACAAAACATAGTCTATAAATAAAAATTGAAAATAATGATTAAAAAAAACACAAAACCGTTCTCGTTTCGACTTTATTCAAAAGACTAACCTACCAGTGTGAGCCAGTCGGTTTTCATAGTTTACTTGAAGGAACTGATTTATTGCTGAGTTATGACTGTTTGATTAATATATGAATTACAATGAAAATTATGTTGAAAACTTTTTTAAAAAATATTTACAACTATGAGGAGCATGTAAACGTTGGAATTTCTGTTTATTAATGTCCACCTCCCCTTTAAACGTTTTTCCCTTTTAAAATCAGTCAATTTCCTACGTCTTCAGCCTCGTGTAGCTGTCATTTCTCAGACGTTCGGCTGACAGTTTTAAAACGAGTACCATGCTGATGTCTGTTGAATGTTAACTTAATTATAAGCGAGACCAGCCTTAATTGAGAAGGGCCGCGGTAAACTCGATTTATTCGTCGAGTGACGAACGTTAACAGGAAGCGGACGTTAGATTAACGCTAGTATAATTGACCAACCTCTCACTCCCAGTTCACAAACTGTGTCTTTCATATGATAATAGGCGAGACATAAATAGTCCAATAAAGCCGAAACTCGCGTCACTGCCACTTAATTCAAACGACCAGCCTTCCTGCAAGGTCAGTTCAGTCACGTTGCACTCAAACAGAGGGCTACTTTGGTGAGTCAGATTCTTAAATTTTAACTGATTTTTTGAACTTGACTTTAACAGTTTATTTGAATCACTTTGACAAAGTTACTTTAAAAACGAAGTTTGTAGTGCAGAACCTCCAGGCTGGCAGATATAATCCAACCGCCCTTCACTGACAACGAGCCAAGAATTTATTTTAATTTGTTTCTGATTTTTGGAAAACTTAAAAGTAAGTTTTATCATTCTTGAACGCTTTTTTTGAAATAGTTGCTCGAACGAGCCATTAAGAGCTTTTAAAACAGGTTTTGAGAAACATTCTTCAACTAGTAAAAAAACTTCCGATGGCTATTTTAAGAAATCCGAATCACATTGTGTTGATGAAAAGACATTAAACCACAAAAATTTAAGTCTTACGTAATTATAATAAGCCGTAGTGTTTCAGTGTCAGTTACACGCTCAATTGAGGGATATTTACTAGTAAATACTTCAGCTCCACAACATAAATATCAGCTATCCAATCAAGTACGAAATGAAATAGGTAGTTGGCTAGGTTTTCTTAGTTATAACATCCGAGGACGTCATCGTTGTGCATTCCGGCGAAACTCAATCATCAAACGTTGTGGCAACTTTCAATTCTACTGATCAATTATGTCCTAAAGATGCTATTTGTTCTTATATCATCTGGATATTTCGTATCGAATTGCGACTGGTGTGACTATGGTTGATGCAGCTCTCGGTACGCGCTCGGTATTTATCACTCAAACGTGATCTTTTTACCGATGTCACAAAAATAATTGCAATTTTAATACTTTTTGGCACTGAAAAAAAAACACTTCTTTCATAGGTCGATTTATCAAACTTCATTTAGTGAAATGTCAAGTTTTATAAAAATCTAATGCAGACTGACCCGAAAATATGACACCGCAAAATGCTTTCTGCCTACCATCCAGGATTTCTTTGTTAAATTAATTCAGTCCTCATTTTCTGGGCATTTTTGAGGTCGAATTTTGCATTGAATACTTTGGCGGCTAAATATGTTCAGCTTGTATAGAAAGTTCTATATATTACAATGGATCATTACCCTTGCTCAACTTCCGCCAGAACATGATGAGCTTCCTATTCATATTTATTTGTCCTCTGTTTGGTTTTGGTTAAACACCATCTATCGAAGCTCCTCAGTTTACACAGTCAGCTACCCCTTGGGGCACTCTTATGTAGTGAAAGAAAATTCATTTATATGTTAATATTTTACAGTTGAATTCAGCGATGGAGAACCAACAAAAATCCAAGTTAAACATCAAACAGCGCTTTTCCTGTGGCCTCGGGAACGTTCTCAATGAAATTTTCCGTCAAATGTACATTTCTTTTTCCATCATATTTTTGATGCAAGTGATTGGTTTATCCGCATCCCAAGCCGGATTGGCTATGCTTATTGGACAAATAACTGACGCCTTTACCTCTCCAATAACTGGTTTCTTGGGCGACCGTGTGCAAATTCCATTTATTTCCAAAAAGCTGGGTCGGAGGAAGTCGTGGCACTTAGTGGGAACAGTTATGATGGCCGGTGGACTTCCTCTTCTGTTCAATCGGTGTTTGGTATGCAACGATTATCAGGGTGTCAGTTGGTTGCAACCTTTTTACTATTATTGCGTCATGGTTATTATCAATGCGGCATGCAACATTCTGGAGATCAATCATCTTTCAATCACCTTCACTGCAGCTGGGACAGTGCAAGATGGCGCAGCGTTAACTGCTATAAGGTTACAGCAATAACACAATGTTTTTGTTCACAATTTCTTGATTCTGATTTTTTGGATTCTGTTCTCTGACTGAATGTGATCTCAACAGTGGTAACGAGTGTATATTGATAATCAACGGAGCTGAAACTGATGGGTGCACGTTTTTGTCTCTCTTTTTTTTTATTTTTCAAACCTTTTTTTATTTTTCGCTTTGAATCTTAAATGGCACCTGATCTGACAGGCTACAATAACGTCAGTGAGTAAGTTCGGTTCAAGATACTTAAACACAGACGTAATATATAGGAATATAGATACCCTCATCCCTAATTTATGCCGTAAGAGTCGACCCTTTTTTTTACTCTCTTTTTTTCTGATATAGGACAGTCCTTAGTTTCGTTAGTGGAATATACGTTTATGTGGTTGCCTGGGGACTGCTTGGTCAGGATGACGGAGACGATCTGGGGCCAGAAAGTGTAACACAGTTTGCGGTAGGTACCTAAAGAAAGTGACGATATGGAAATTGCATTAATGAACAGAGCAATGTAATTGATTGGATTAATGATGATGATGATGATGATGATGATGATGATGATGATGAGATTGAATTCATAATACCATATTGCTCCGGCGCCCAACCAAACACACGTTTTTTTATGGTGCCTGCATGCTTTTTGACAACTAGCTAGTGGAGCAGGTGTAATTCATTTTTTAAAAACTTTTTCCTAGAGAGTTCTTAGGTATGTATCAGCAATAAAACTTTAAATTGAAATAACACTTTATTTAAGTTTAAAAAACTCGTATTTGAATTATTTTCAAATGTTTATATTTCTTTCCCTTTCGACGCAGCATCTTGTATGGATTGTCACTGGTACAGGAATAGTCTTTACAGTCATTTTTTATATTGGAACAAAGGAACCAGCCGTACGCCCTCTAAGAAAGATCAGCACACTCATGGATCCAGTGGTATGAAGCAACATAAGATATCGATTGCGCTGTCCTCGACGACTAGCCATCTTTCTAAGCCCCTGGCCATGGACGATTCGCAGCCACGATTTTTATCGCAAGAAAGCGTAGTATTTGCACGTTTCGAAAATGAAATCAGTATGAATACAACATTGTTTCATTGCAACGCTTGCTATTTTGCGCTGAAAATCGCTGTTGCGAATCCTTCCTGTTATAAAATCACCTTTAATCCGGTATTATATGTACTTTTCCTGCAAATTATGACGTTGATGTTCTTGCAAGGTTTGCCTGATATGTATGTATCAATACAAGAGAGAATAATCTCTCTTAATTCACATTGATATTCATGAGAGCTTAAGCCATGGTTCGCCGTTTTCGTCCGGCCGCCGATTGCATTCACCTCGACCCCTCAGTTGTATCTCATTTTAGTAGACTCCAACTAGTGGTCTATTATCAATGCTGCGTTCTGATTGGTTGAGCTTCTTCTAGACTATATGCTATAGCCCACTAGTAGCGACAAGCGCCGGCTTTGAAAACCAAAACAATGGCGGCTGAATTGCGTTTTGCTAGCTAAAGTTGTTTTGTCTCGATATTTTTGACCAACCAGTTGGATTTTACTAAAACAATTATTCCTCTCGCCCTCATGGCCTCTGAGTCAATAGCCCATTCGGCCTTCGGCCTCATGGGCTATTGACTCCATGGATATTATCCATGTGGACTCAGAGCCCATTCGAGCTCGAGGAATAATTGTTTAATACCTAGTGCTTTTGCAATTTGTAGTAATCATCGCACTTTATATTACCTGTAACTAAGTCCGATCACATGTCGCAATTCGCCACAAAGCCGTGTCGCACTTGGTAATAAAAAAATGTCCACTTTGACACATCTCCCCAGGATGCCCATCTCTCTTTGTTACAAAATATCACCGTACCTTATACACTAATAGTTCTACCAATCAATCAAATACCTACTCTTGCATGTCGGCAAGTGCAAATATCTAAGTTTTTGTCACGTCGACCATGAATTGTCTCAAGAAGAGTTTCATAGCGATGCCAATTTTATGACATGAATACGGTTTTTATCTTTGGCCAGAACGGTGAAGGATTATTTCAGGCTAGCCAGTCTGTTTATTCAATGGTCTTCGAACAAGTTGATGGTGAGTTGAATGAAATGGATTACTCTACCTTTAGTTCTAACCTTTCTGCTTTACTTTCACCTCGCAGTGAACGTTGAGACATGAGCAACGTTAATATTAGTATATTGAGGTCAAATTTGTCGGTAAAAGGAGACTTTGTTAATGTAACGATACCTAAGATGGAGCTCAAACTCGTACATCAGCAGGGCCAATTTATTAAAACTTTTACAAGTGTAATTTACAAGTGTTGCTATTGTTTTTATACTCTAAAACAATAGCTACGCTTGTAAATCACTTTAATTGCTTACACAGAATGTTGATTGTTACGCGTCACAAGTAACAACCGAGTAAGGGTCTGGGCTCTTTAGTTTCACACGTGCAGATGCTGTGAAAGCAGCGAAAACGCTCTTCCCATAATTCTGCCTTCTCGATCAATTCCTTGCGACAAGAAGTAGACGTCAAATGAAGTCAACCAAGAAAGAATAGCTCCCATTATGGGCTCCTGATCTGGAGGGATCCTGAAAAGAAAAATTAATCAAAAAAATATTTCGTTAACATCACGGGCCAACATCGGGTAATATTGGAAGCTAATATCAAGGAAAGAGAGGAGATGTCTTTTTACCTCTTTCAGTTAATAGGCACTCAGTAGTTGAACACGATATCTTTGTCGAAAAGCTCAATATCTGTAATAAGACGAAAGTGCTGCAGTTCCTTTTAATAAGGTATAGAGAAAATTGAATTTTTTAAAAAAAATTCTTTTAAGATGCCAAGAGGAAAACTTCGACCATAGTCCATTCCCTTGTTGACATTTTTATGTCTTCGGTGGAAAACACTGAAGTTGTCGATAAAGCAACAACTGCTACAGCAGCGTCTAAAAAGATAAGTGTGGTACAACGATTTGTGGAAGCTCTCTTTTCTAACGGCGATGGAAACAGTCATGAAGATTCAGAAGACAAACTTCAATTTTCTGAAGTCACATCGGGAGCGTCAAGTAATCAAGAGAAACCCGGAGGCGGTATGTACTAAAATGATATTTGCGTTGTTGTTTTTACATTATCTATGAGCAGGTAAAGTGTTCCTGGCTTTAAATGTAAATATTCATGATGTTCGATGGATGTATCGTCAACATTAAGTTGAATTGAGGTAAATAAACGCGACATTTCAAAAGGAACCTCGGCTTAGCGGTGATTAAAACCGTGACAGCGGTCACACGTACGGTGATATTCTATTTAACTAATTAAAAATAAAATGAAATAAAATGCAAATCAAGTAGTCCTAGTGAGATTTAGAAAACATTTGGGCATAATTTATTAGGGATGAGAATCCTCAGGCGTCGGTTCTGGTAGTTTAAGCGAAATGACGTCATTGTACGAATGTCCTATTGTCATTTCTCCTGTAGATCTGATAACCCACGTAGCAAGACTGGACCAGGATCGCAAAAAGAGTCTCGTCTTTCGCTTAGTAGATGCGCTTCTTAATAAAGAGAGTCAAAGGCAACCAGAGGCGACTGGTATTATGGCCGAAGAAGGGCAAGTGGATCTTGAAGAGGAAAAGAACAGGCAGAATACGAACATTTTTGAAGACGCGACAAATTGTACTGAATGGTAAGCGTTTTTCTTGAGTTGAACACCCGCTTTTTTCAAGCACCCACGTGACGGTTCCTGAGTACAAAAGCAAGACCCTATTCTTACGCTTCAAAGTGGTCACAACTACCTGTGCGCACAAGTTTTCTGTTACTTCTTTGGCAATCCACTGCTATGGATACCCGCATTTCTCCCGGCTACGCTAACGTTTTAAAATGACGTCTGACAGGGCAAATTGGAGTAAATATGTGCACATTATAACACAATTTTATGCTGGTACCCAGGAACTAGTATCCAGACACCATGAGTGATTACACAGCCTAAGGTGACGTGCATAAAGTGGCAGTTGATGTGAAAGGTTGAGGGCTTTCCAATCAGTTCCCATCCACAGCCTCATCACCGAATGCACCTCTTAGCTAGAGTTTTGCACATCGCCATCTTGCACCTGAAAGAGTCTTGTATGAGCGAATTTTATTTTGTTTTATTTTTTGTTGTTGTTGTTTTCCCTGTGAGTTAATCTTTGCTCATATTACTGACAGGAACCTAACAAAAAATACAGAAATAATGGAGGGAAATGAAGATCATGATATGAAAACAAGAGAATATGATTTAAATGGTGCTGACGGAGGACATAGCCGGCGTCGGAGAAGAGGCATGTCTTTGGCTCCAGAAGAAGTTTGTAAGCTTGGAATACACAACCTTGGTTACCAAAATGAAACCTCTGGGATGGAGATGACAGCAATAAACGAGGAAGAGGCCATTGAGCCTGTCGGTGAAGGCGATGCAATTATCCATGGTTTCGAAAAACAAATGTCACCTTTTAGAGAAACAACAACACGCAAAAAAGTGAGTTTCTCTGTTCCGGAAAGGAAGGAAAGCCGTAATTCTGGAATTTATCCTCTTGATTCAGAGATGACAGCATTTTCAGACAAAGAGACGCAGAGAAAACTGAGCTTATCTGAGCTAGAAGAGAACGGATCTGAGAAAAAAGAGACGAGAGATGAATCCAATGATAAATCGTGTAAATCTGCGATTACTGGAGGATCTGAAAAGAGGAAACCAAAGACGACGACAGATTGGTTGAAGACTCCTAATGTTTACAAGGTTGGCATCTCTTAATGTGTCCAATGACCTTTTTGTTTTTTTTCAATTTCACTTTAAGTCTTATCGGTATATCCTCTTATCTAATGACTTGCCTTTAAAGCAGCTGCAAGATTGACGTGTCGGGATCACATCATTTGCAAATTTACCGAGTTAATTATACCGAAAGGCTAACCTTTGCCAACACCTTAAGGTACCAAAAGTGTGTCGTTTAACAATATTTGGTATCACTAAGTGTCTTGTCAGTTTAGAACCTTATGCAGTTCACACAAACAGGTAAACAACAAATTACATTTTTCTGTCAAAAATGCAATCACATTACATTAATTAAAGCGCTGCGCTGGAATTTCTTAACTCTGGACTACAAAAAGGCTGTAAGGTATTAGCCCTGTTTAAAACAAAATCGTGCTAAAAATAAAGTCATTGACAAATTTACCGAGTTCATTTCATTAATTAGGTTGCCGTTATCGTCACGTGTTCTCGCCTTGTGCAGGATGCGGTTTATGCATATTTGCCGTTGTACTTGACTGAAAGACTGGGCTTTGGGAAGGTAAGACGAATAATTTTGCACCCTTTGTTTAATGTGTTAAAAAGATGATCTTCCATAAATGGCTCTACTGTTCGCTATTATACACCCCAGCCTTAAAATCTAAACTGATATAGAGAGGATGTGCGCATGCGTTCTCCATCACAGTTATGAAAAACCGTCCCATAATCGTATGACAAAATTGCAGACGTTTCTGCATTTAAATCAAAACTTAAAACGTTTTTATCTAGGAAAATTTTTATTAGCCTTTATTTTTAACATTATTTTTCGAAGTACTGATCTCAAGTGTTTTATATACAAAACTGTCTGTTATATCGCTGTCAGCTAGGACTAGAGATCTTTTTATTTATTCGATTCTTATTCATGTAAGGCCCATTGAAGTCCGAAATGCGCTTAAAGACAACGGTACCTCTAATCATAGAAACATTTCCATGTGACAGCATCCACACCGCTCTGATATATAAAGGAGATATTAATTTTCTCTTCATTTTATTTTACTTTGAGCTTTTTGTCGATTCTTTTGCAGCAATCCATTGCCTACTTTCCCCTTGTTCTTCTTGTTAGCGGAGCAATGGGCAGCACTATTTCAAATAAACTTAACTCCAAACTGGGAAACATGGTAAGCGGCTTCTCCCTCATTTAAATTTTTCTATACATGTAACAAGTCGAATAATTCAACTAATAATAAATTAAAAATAAGGGATAATAAAATATCTGCAACTTGCACTGCTAAGCGAGGAGAACTCCTTGCCTGACTTTGATACCTTGTGTATTTCATATCTTTCCTCAGGGAACTTACCTCATTGGTTCACTTCTCGTGATTGGTGCATCTGTATACTATTATTTCCAAACCACTGAGTTGAAACTGTCCACATATGCGCCCGTATTCCTAACAGGCAGCGGCATGTCCATCATGTACGTCATGGCTCTGACGTTCGCTGCAGAGCTCGTCAAAGCAGACAAGGTACGCAAACATTGTATGGAAAGAGAAAAATGACCGTAATTTAAGACAAAGCTATTTCATTTTACAAAATTTAACCTAAATACTTAGGTCAAGATAATTGAGATACCACCCGCCTTCCGACTGTTTAAAAAACTGAGATACTAAAGAAATTCTGATTGGTCAAAATAACTGGAAAACCAACGCGCGTTCTAAGTGGTCGAAATAACTGACAGACGACACGCTCTCTTATTGGTCAAAATAACTTAAATATCACATGCCTTAATTGACTGGTCAAAATAACTGAGACACTACAGGTGTTCCAACCTGGTTAACAAACTGATCAAAATGCTTAGCTCGTTCTGATTGAATTTAAAACAATTGTATAATATAAGAGCCTTGTAGCTGAAATCAAACTGTATAAAACCTTTAAATTTTTTAGTCCTTCTAGCTATAGTCACCCTCTTAAAATAAAACGTCAAGACGTAAAGAAAAAAGCTAATTAAATTTCCGGTTCACCAGAACACGCATCAAAGACCGTAAAAATGGACGCATCTCCCTTTAACTTAGACTTTATATTAGAGTGCCACAATTAACTGATAAAGATTCCACTATGATTGAACTATCAGATCAAGAGATCAGGCGCGGCTATTTATAAACACAGCCAACTCCTAAACTTTCAATATATAAAGCTACCAGCAGGTTAAACGTATATGCGTTTTTTTTTAAAGTATCTGAAACAGTTGTGCTGTCTTTTACAGGAAACTAGTGGTTCGGCATTCGCCATCATTATTTTTCTAGGGAGAATATCCAGCGGTGGTTTGCTGATGGCTATACAAGAGTTTTATCCAGAAAACGGGTGAGATTATAAGTGGATCTCCTACCTTAATTTAAAAAATCCATATTTTTGTGGTCGGGTGAAAAATTTAATTTAATTAAGTGCCGATTTCTAGGAACGTTTGTTCTCGGCTGGATCTTTACTGTTTTCTCTGTCTTGATGCAAGGAAACGCTGCAGATTGCCATGGTTACGGGTGGCTAGAATATACATGATTTGGGTGATTAAAATGTCCCGCTACCTTGATGCGTCTTTTTCATTTCTGAGGCATATACTAAAAGCCGTCCCTTTTTATTCCTAGTTCGTCAAGCCAAACGCGCGCAAGAAAAAATGCCTGGAGGGCGATTTTTAGTTATTTATAATTATTTTATTTTATAGCTCTACGTCCAATTTGAGTGAAAGCGACTACGTGCAGCATGTATTTTCTGTAGTTCCCGCTCTATTGGCGCTTGCTGGCTCGCTGATGGTTTTATTCTTCCGTCCACCGTCATGTCGTACAAAAAGAGGTTGGTACGGTTTCAAAGCTTCCCATGCAATTATGTCTTATCATCAGCTAAGTTAAGATGTAGCTTCTGTACAAAAATTTTTAATAAACACAATCAATATGGCAAAAATCATCTCTGGACACTGATTATGTCAATGCAGTTTGTAAATGAAATTATGATCGAATTTCATCTCCTTTGCTAGGCCGCCCTGTATGGATTGTTTTACATCAGCCTTTCAGCCTAATGCTGTCGTTTGCTTGTGCTATAGATATATAATGTTAAGAGCCCGTTTCTTTCAATTTAACTAGCCTGCCAAAACAGCCGTTTCATGCTTCACGCCGCTTGGGACGTTTCGCCAGAAGAGACTCTCCTGGAGAAACGTCCCAAGCGGCGTGGATTGGCTGTTTTCAATTGGTAGCCGGGCTAAAATAAATTAACAGGCATCAATTTCAGTTAGTCTTGCATTTCTTTTGCCCAAATATACATTATGGTTGTATCTAGAGGGGGCCGAAGGGGAGGCACGCCCTTCACTCTTTTTTTCTAAAATTACTGTTCTATAGAATTTTAAGATGAATTTTTCTTCAAAAAACTTAATTTATCACTATGCACTCAGAGTTTTTTCTAAATTTTCTGGATCTTACATCCCTGGCATTGATCGTGTACGGAAACGGAACAAGAGGAGCAGTGAGCAGTTCGTAGGGGCGTTTCCACTTATGTCTCCATGAAACAACCTCAGTCTTTCATATTCTTAATTAATTTATAATGCCTCCTGGCTAGATTAGCTTTTAAGCCATTTTCCAGGTGGCTTGTACCTTACATAAGTAGTAGTGTCTGTTTTTTAATGTCTTTTTTTTCGGTGTGTGGTATAAATAAAATTGCTGTCTTGTCTTGTCTAACAAACGCGTTGTTCATTCCAGGAACATCTAATTATCTCTTCATTGTAAACGGCGCACTACTTGTTTTATTTGTTTTTTTGTTTGTTTTTCTTGTAGAATATTCACTTGATGAAAACGCTCAAGTTCGTGATCAATCAGAAGCAAGTCACGTTCAATCATTCAACGTTGTCTTAGAACCTGAGAGAGATTAGAAGGACGCCGAGTTCCTTTTGGTACATCTGGACAAAACTGAAGAGAATCCTATCCAGCTACCATTGGCACACTGAAATAACAGCCATTCAATTTTGGCTTCTTCGCTGGACGACAATTTTTTTTTTTTACCTAACCAAGGTTCAGTAGAGGACGCGGCTTACTCGATCGTCTTGCTAGTTTTTCTTAAAAAGATGAACTGACTCGGAACCAATTGCAAGGATGCTCGATCGAAAAAGAAAATCGTTATATGATCATACTACTGTTTAACAACGCAGCAATTAGCGTAGCATAGTTCATAATAGCTTGAAATTTAATAAATTTGTGAAACAACAAGGTTTATAAAGCCTCGTTCATCTTTTGAACACTGCCCTCCCAAGGGGGATTATACTAAAGATGTCAAAACAGCCCTAGAACCGAACCTTGAGGAACACCAAACCGGCCAATGAACTCATAGCCTGCGAACCGCAGACGTATTCCCGGTCGTCTATTTTCTCACTCCGAAACTAGAGCCGAACAACCCGGATGCTCTCGCAGGCTAATGAGCTCAGTGTTTCTCAAAGTACTCAAGCTGACAAAAGACAGCCTCATCGATTGCTTTTGAGATGAAAGTCAGAATTTTGCATTCGCCTCTGTCCCTCCACTTCAAGTCCTCATGATCAAGTTGGATTTTTATTTTAAAAAAAGGATGGGAGAATGACGGAACAATCTAGCAATTACAAATCTAGTGAAAAATGGGCTGTACAAAGTTCATCAATTAATTCATTAAATACTATATTACTGTTATGTATTGACCCATTATAATTGGCACACTCAAATTCTCCAAACTGATGTCCATAAATTTCCTTAAAAGATTAGCTAAGAAAAATAATTTGATAAAAGATCAGAGCATTTCCCTTTAGGCGATCATTTTGTTAATTCTCATAACCATTTCCCTTGATTTTGTATTGATTTTGTTGGGAGAAAATTGATGTTGGTCAAGTTTGAGACTTGAAACTTTAAATCGCAGTTTTGTAAATCGTCTTTCTTACCTGCCGTCATTAAGGTGTCCTTTATGTGAACTCTATTTTTCACACGTCACTAGCTATGAAAATATCCATCGATTCCCTTGCATCAAAGAAATCTTACAAGGGTCGTCGTCTTTACTATAAGGCTCGATTACCAGCCTCTGTTGGAGAAAATATACCCGTGCTCAGTCATCGCGGAAATTGAGGCTACCTTACTGTAAGAATTTAAGGATCATAATTAACCGAGTGCTAGTTTTCCAGTTTGAGAGTCACGTTTATTAAGTTAGTTAGTGTGTCTTATAAGTTGAAGCGATTTGGTATAAGTTAGAGGAAACAATTAAAACCCGATAATATGGTTGTTAAACCAGGCGCATTTTCTAAATTTCGGAGTCGGCTGTCAGTCGAAGGTTAAGTATTTAATTTTTATCATTAATATCATGATATCATGCAATATTTCAAATTAACTTTATATTTGCAGATTTAAACAGTGCTGTTAACGTTGTTCATTTGTTTATGTTTAGGACCTTTAAGTTAAATTTAGGTCTTATTTATTCATATTTTGGTGTTCACGGTATTCTTTGTCTGACGTCAACACGGGATGCATGATCAACAGAGGCTTCCAAGCCTCAGTCACGTATTCATTGAGCTACACAGCCTCAAAAGTACGACGTTGAGTAACAAACAAAAATTCCACGCGAGTTCAAATCAGATCATAGACTGTTCAAGCCTCTTATATATAGCCTGTTCCAAGCGAACAGGCTAATATAACTATCTTTTTCACTGCCAACCGTAACTGCATGGATTGCGAAGTGATGGTTTTTCTCAATAGCTCTGTAGGGAAATTAAACACACAAAGTGACTGTCTGGTGCTAACATCAGATTAGAGATTTTAATACTATGAAAACGTGGTCTGCATTTAATAATTACTCTTGCAGAACGTCCAGTACTGTCCACCAGACCTTGACTTCAAATTGAGACAAATCCATTTCCGAAACTATAACTGCATCTCCTAGAATAAACTCCTGGAATATTGATTAATCTCACAAGAGCGACGTGTAAAACGCGACGAATGATTCAGACTAAACTGAACCACGATTGAGACTCAAGATTGATGTTAATTAATAATAGGCCATTTGCACGATGTCGTCATTTTACTGCTACTAGCTACCAGGATCCTTTCCGATTTTCCTTTCATATCAAAACACAAATAAATACACAAATCTTAATCTTAATCTCATTTTAAAAGCTTAAGTAACTGGGAAATTGGAAAAGGATGTCTTTTACCATCGCATATGTATGAGAAAACAGTTAGATTAAAGTAAAGTTAACCAACCTTTGACTCCAAATTCAAGCACCATGTCTTTCATGAGACCACACAAAAGACAAAGCATAGTCTATAAATAAAAATTGAAAATAGTAACTGAAAAAACGCTTAAAAGAGTTCTCGTGTCGACTTTATTCAAAAGACTAACCTACCAGTGTGAGCCAGTCGGTTAATTTTCATAGTTTACCTGAAGAAACTGATTTATTGGTGATTTATGATTAATTAATATATGAATTACCTTAAAAATTATGATGAAAACTTTTTTTAAAAAAAATAGTAACAAATATGAGGAGCATGTAAACGTTGGAATTTCTGTTTATTAAGGTCCACCGCCCCTTAAACGTTTGTTCCTTTTAAAATCAGTCAATTTCCTACGTCTTCTGGGCCTCATGCAGCTGTCATTTCTCAGACGTTCAGCTGACAGTTTTAAAACGAGTACCATGCAGATGTCTGTTGAATGTTAACTTTATTATAAGCGAGACCACAGGGGCACTTAACGAGAATATAGTTTAAAACCACGCAAACACAGCATTGTTTAACGTATTTTAGTATTTAAACGGTAGATATAGGCATATTTTTATCCCCTAAAAATTTTTCATCTGTTCGGATTTCCTGGCTAAAAGTCTTGTGATCCGAAAATAATAGGGATGAAAACTTACCTTTTCGAAAATTTTAGCCATAAAAAGGCTCCCGAAAATTCTAGGTGACCTTTCAGAGGGTAAAAATCCGTTAAAAATGGGCAATTATACCATTTTTTGGATGTTCGAAAATCCTAGGAGAGATAGGCAAGCAATAAATTTTACAACAAATGTTCCGAAAATTCTAGATCTCAAATCGTCTTCCGAACAGATATTTTCCAAGGCAGGCTAGGCAAAGAGAGTTCTCAAAGATACATCGTTAAACTCTCATTCAACCTTCCTTATAACGGCTCGCTATTAAAGTATACTTTCCTCAATTCTGAATATAATTTCTTTGACCCCCGGTAAAAGCAAAATTCTTCATTGTGACTGATTTGCTTTAGGTCTTAAGGGAAACCTCATGCGAACAAAGCAGAAGGGCCGATTTCAAGGAACTCGATTTCAAGGAGCTTACGACAAAGACTTTTTTGAGTGACGAACGTTAACAGGAAGTGGAAGTTAGTTTAACGCTAGCCTAGTATGATTGACCAACCTCTCACTCCAAGTTCCGAAACTCTTTCATATGATAATAGGCGAGACATAAATAGTCCAAAAAAAGCAGAAACTCGCGTCACTTACACTTAATTTAAGAGACCAGCCTTTCAAGGTCAGTTCAGTCACGTTGCACTCAAACAGAGGGCTACATTGGTGAGTCAGCTTCTTAAATTTTAACTGATTTTTTAAACTTGACTTTAACAGTTTATTTGAATCACTTTCAATTGACAATGTGTTTAAGACGAGGTTTGTAGTGCGGAACCTCCAGGCAGGCAGATATAATCCAACCGCCCTTCATTTAAACTTAGTTCTCAGTCTGACACCGAGCCAAGAATTTGTTTTAATTTGTTTCTGATATTTGGAAAACTTAAAAATCAGTTTATCATTCTTGAACGCTTTTCTTGAAATAGTTGCTAGAACGAGCCATTAAAGATCTTTTAAAACAGGTTTTGAGAAACATTCTTCAACTATTAAAAAAACTTCAGATGGCTGTTTAAAGAAATCCGAATCACATGTGTTGATAAAAAGACATAAACCCACACAAAGTTAAGTCTTAAAATAAGCAATAGTGTATTTTAGGGTTGTTACACGCTCAATTGAGGGATATTTACTAGTAAATCTGACTTCAGCTCAACAACGTAAATATTAGCGACCCAATCAAGTACGAAAAAATTTTATAAGTGGCTAGGTTTTCTTAGTTATAACATACGAGGACGTCACCGTTGTGCATTCCGGCGAAACTCAATCATCAAACGTTGTGGCAAGTTTCGATTCTATATCAGTTATGTCCTAAAGATGCTATTTGTTCTCATATCATCTGGATATTTCGTATCGAATTGCGACTAGAGTGACTATGGTTTATTATTAAAGAGTTCTCGGTACCCGCTCGGTACTTTCACTCAAACGTGATCTTTTTACCGATGTCACAAAAATAATTGCAATTTTAATACTTTTTGGCACTGAAACAAAAACATATTTTCATAGAACGATTTATCAAACTTCATTTAGTGAAATGTCAAGTTTTATAAAAATCTAATGCAGACTGACCCGAAAATATGAAACCGCAAAATGCTCAACTGCCTACCATCCAGGATTTCTTTGTTAAATTAATTCAGTCCTCATTTGCTGGGCATTTTTGAGGTCGATTTTTGCATTGAATACTTTGGCGGTTAAATAATTTCAGCCTGCATAGAAAGTGTTATATATTACAATGGATTATTACGCTTTCCCAACTTCCGCCGGAACATGATGAACTTCATATTCATATCTATTTGTCCTCTGTTTGGTTTTGGTTAAACACCATCGATCGAAGGTCCTCAGTTTACAGAGTCAGCTACCCCTTGCGGCACTCTTATGTACTGGAAGAAAATTCATTTATATGTTAATATTTTACAGTTGAATTCAGCAATGGAGAACCAACAAAAAACGAAGTTAAACATCAAACAGCGCTTTTCCTATGGCCTCGGGAACATTCTGAACGAAATTCTCCTTTATATGTACCTTTCTTTTTCCATCATATTTTTGATGCAAGTGATTGGTTTATCCGCATCCCAAGCCGGATTGGCTATGCTTATTGGACAAATAACTGACGCCTTTACCTCTCCAATAACTGGTTTCTTGGGCGACCGTGTGCAAATTCCATTTATTTCCAAAAAGCTGGGTCAAAGGAAGTCGTGGCACTTAGTGGGAACAGTTATGATGGCCGGTGGACTTCCTCTTCTGTTCAATCGGTGTTTGGTATGCAACGATTATCAGGGTGTCAGTTGGTTGCAACCTTTTTACTATTATTGTGTCATGGTTATTATAAATGTGGCAACCAACATTTTGGAGATCAATCATCTTTCAATCACCTTCACTGCAGCTGGGACAGTGCAAGAAGGCGCAGCGTTAACTGCTATAAGGTTACAGCAATAACACTATTTTTTTTGTTCACAATTTCTTGAATGTGTTGTTTTAGATTCTGTTCTCTAACTGAATTGATCTCACTAGTGGTTGTGAATGTATATTGATAACCAACGAAGCTAAAACTGAAGGGTGCACATTTTTGCCTCTGCTTTTTTTATTTTTCAAATCTGTTTTTCTTTTTCGCTTTGAATCTCAAATGGCACCTGATGTGACAGGCTACCATAACGTCAGTGAGTAAGTTCGGTTCAAGATATTTAAACCCAAACGTGGTACATAGGAATAAAGATACCCTCATCCCCAATTTATGAGGCAAGAGTCGACCCTTTGTTTTTTTTTTTCTGATATAGGACAGTCCTTAGTTTCGTTAGTGGAATATACGTTTATGTGGTTGCCTGGGGACTGCTTGGTCAGGATGGCGGAGACGATCTGGGGACGGAAAATGTAACACAGTTTGCGGTAAGTACCTAAATAAAGTGACAATATGGAAATTGCATTAATGAACAGAGCAATCTAACTGATTGGATTTATGATGATGATGATGATGATGATGATGATGATGATGATGATGAAATTGAATTCATAATACCATATTGCTCCGGCGCCCAACCAAACACACGTTTTTTATGGTGCCTGCATGCTTTTTGACAACTAGCTAGTGGAGCAGGTGTAATTCATTTTTAAAAAAAATTAAAAACGTTTTCCTAGAGTATTCTTGGGTATGTATCAGCAATAAAAGTTTAAATTGAAATAACACTATATTTAAGTTTAAAAAAATCGTATTAAATTATTTTCAAATGTTTATATTTCTTTCCCTTTCGACGCAGCATCTTGTATGGATTGTCACTGGTACAGGAGTAGTCTTTGCAGTCATTTTTTATATTGGAACAGAGGAACCAGCCGTAAGCCCTCTAAGAAAGATCAGCACACTCATGGATCCAGTGGTATGAAGCAATATAAGATATCGATTGCGCTGTCCTCGACGACTAGCCAATTTTCTTAGACCGTGGACGATTCGCAACCACGATTTTTATCGCTATTGACTCAGAGCCCATTTGAGCTCGAGGAATAATTGTTACATGCCTAGTGCGGTTGCAGTTTGTAGTAATCATCGCACTTTATATTACCTGTAACTAAGTCCGATCACATGTCACAATTCGCCACAAAGCCGTGTAGCACTTGGTAATAGAAAAATGTCCACTTTGACACCTCTCCCCAGGATGCCCATCTCTCTTTGTTACAAAATATCACCGTACCTTATAGACTTCAAGTTTCTACCAATTAATCAAATACCTACTCTTGCGTGTCGGCAAGTGTAAATATCTAAGTTTTTGTCACTTCGACCATGAATTGTCTCCAGAAGAGTTTCACAGTGATGGCAATTTTGTGACATGAATAAATCGTTTTTATCTTTGGCCAGAACGGTGAAGGATTATTTCAGGCTAGCCAGTCTGTTTATTCAATGGTCTTCGAACAAGTTGATGGTGAGTTGAATGAAATGGATTACTCTACCTTTAGTTCTAACCTTTCTGCTTTACTTTCACCTCGCAGTGTACGTTGATACATAAGCAACGTTAATATTAGCATATTGAGGTCTAATTTGTCGGTAAAAGGAGACTTTGTCAATGTAACGATACCTAAGATGGAGCTCAAACTCGTACATCAGCAGGGCCAATTTTTTTAGCTACTTTTACAAGTGTAATTTACAAGTGTTTCTATTGTTTTCATACTCTTAAACAATAGCTACGCTTGTAAATCACTTTAACTGCTTACAGTATGTTCATTGTTACACGTCACAAGTAACAACCGAGTAAGGGTCTGGGCTCTTTAGTTTCTTACGTGCGCGGGCAGATGCTGTGAAAGCAGCGAAAACGCTCTTACGATAATCCTGCCTTCTCGATCAATTCCTTGCGACAAGAAGTAGACGATAAAGTCTACCAAGAAAGAATAGCTCCCATTATGGCCTCCTGACCTGGAGGGATCCTGAAAAGAAAAAGATATTCAAAAGAATATATAACATCACGGGCCAACATTGGGTAATATTGGACGGTAATATGAAGGAAAGAGGGGGGATGACTTTTTACGTCTTTCAGTTAATAGGCACTCAGTAGTTGAACACGATATCTTTGTATCAGTAATAAGACGAAAGACTGCTGGTCCTGTTAATAAGGTATAGCGAAAACTGAATTTTTTAAAATAATTTCTTTGAAGATGCCAAGAGGAAAACTTCGACCATAGTCCATTCCCTTGTTGACATTTTTATGTCTTCGGTGGAAAACACGGAAGTTGTCGATAAAGCAACAACTGCTACAGCAGCGTCTAAAAAGATAAGTGTGGTGCAACGATTTGTGGAAGCTCTCTTTTCTAACGGCGATGGAAACAGTCATGAAGATTCAGAAGACAAACTTCAATTTTCTGAAGTCACATCAGGAGCGTCAAGTAATCAAGAGACACCAGGAGGCGGTATGTACTAAAATGGTATTTGCGTTATTGTTTTAACATTATCTATGAGCAGGTATAGCGTTCCTGGCTTTAAATGTAAAAATTCATGATGTTCGATGGATGTATCATCAACATTAAGTTGAATTGAGGTAAATAAATGTGACATTTCCTTATTTAAATTATGGTATCTGTGCATGGGGCAACTGTCCACAGACCTACCTCAATAAGATACTTGTTCTGCAAAAACGTGCTCTGCGTTTGATTTATTTTTCTAAACCCAGAGAGCATGCAATCCCTTTTTTTATTGAATCAAACTGCCTTCCTTTGCAGTCTTTGTTCTTTCAACAGTTAAGCTATTTAATGTATGACGTTCATGCTAAGACAGCTCCTAAAAGTCTTCTCGATAAGTTTGCGAAAATCAATACAGAACATCATTATAATACGCGATTATCTGCAAAAGAATGCTTCTCTGTCAAATTCTCTAGAACTGAAAAAATGAAAAAATCTTTTACTAGAATCGGTGTGTCTATTCTGAATTCTATTCCACTTTCTGTTAAGACTCTCAACGTTTCTAATTTTCGTAAAAAAATTAAATCACTACTCCTTAATGTTCTAGGTAATGAAGATAATTATTTGAATGTTAATTTTTTAATAGAATATTTTGTGAAGTTAACCTGATATGTTGTATATACCTCCAGTTGTAATTTTAGTCTTTTTCAAATAACAAAATCCCTTGTACTTGAATTTATATGTAAGGTGTTTCTTTCTGTATGTTTTTGTATTTCTTCTTTTCTTTTTTCTTATGTAATTTAATAACGCCTTTAGTTAAAGTCTTGTCCTGCCTAGATTAGCATTGTAGCTATTTGCAGGACATGGAGTATTGTAAACTTTATATTTCTTTAAATAAATACATTGTTGTTGTTTGTTGTTGTTGGAACCTCCGCTTAGCGGTGATTAAAACCGTGACAGCGGTCACACGTACGGTGATATTCTATTTAACTAATTAAAAATAACATGAAATAAAATGCAAATCAAGTAGTCCTAGTGAGATTAAGAAAACATTTGGGCATAATTTATTAGGGATGAAAATCCTCAGGCGTTCTGGTAGTTTAAGCGAAATGACGTCATTGTACGAATGTCCTGTTGTCATTTCTCCTGTAGATCTGATAACCCACGTAGCAAGGCTGGACCAGGATCGCAAAAAGAGTCTCGTCTTTCGCTTAGTAGATGCGCTTCTTAATAAAGAGAGTCAAAGGCAACCAGAGGCGACTGACATTATGGCCGAAGAAGGGCAAGTGGATCTTAAAGAGGAAAAGAACAAGCAGAATACGAACATTTTTGAAGACGCGACAAATTGTACTGAATGGTAAGCGTTTTTCTTGAGTTGAACACCCGCTTTTTTCAAGCACCCACGTGACAGTTCCTGATCATGAGTACAAAAGCAAGACCCTATTCTTACGCTTCAAAGTGGTCACAACTACCTGTGCGCACAAGTTTTCTGTTACTTCTGTGGCAATCCACTGCTATGGATACCCGCATTTCTCCCGGCTACGCTAACGTTTTAAAATGACGTCTGACAGGGCAAATTAAAGTAAATATGTGCACATTATAACACAATTTTATGCTGGTACCCAGGAACTAGTATCCAGACACCATGAGTGATTACACAGCCTAAGGTGACGTGCATAAAGTGGCTGTTGTTGTGAAAGGTTGAGGGCTTTCCAATCAGTTCCCATCCACAGCCTCATCACCGAATGCACCTCTTAGCTAGAGTTTTGCACATCGCCATCTTGCACCTGAAAGAGTCTTGTATGAGCGTATTTTATTTTGTTTTATTATATTTTTTAGTTTTCCCAGTGAGTTAATCTTTGCTCATATTACTGACAGGAACGGAACGAAAAATACAGAAATAATGGAGGGGAATGAAGATCATAATACGAAAACAAGAGAATATGATTTAAATGGTGCTGACAGAGGACATAGCCGGCGTCGGAGAAGAGGCATGTCTTTGGCTCCGGAAGAAGTTTGTAAGCTTGGAATACACAACCTTGGTTACCAAAATGAAACCTGTGGGCTGGAGATGAGAACAATAAACGAAGAAGAAAGTTTGCTGAGTCAAAAGGGATTGTTACAATTATCCTTTGTTAAGATATTATAGTCAACAGTTGATTTACGTTTAGATACTGAGATTATCATTTGCTAAGGCTTGACCCCAGATTCACGTGGCGTTGCATTTGCAAGAATTCATTCAGCTATACAGCCTCAAAAGCACGAAATTAAGTAACAAACAAAAATTCCACGCGAGTTCAAAATCAGATTATAGACTGTTCAAGCCTCTTACATTACTTTCCTTTTTACTGAAAACAAAGCTTCGGGGCCTACAAGGGTAAGATAATTGGTTAAAAAAAGGCCTTTCGACCGCGATTACTAATGAAGAAAAAAGCACATGCATGCGAAACCACATGAAAAGTTCATTAAACATTTCCTATCCAATCTTTTCATAAAATGACCTGCCTTTGTCTCCGCAGTTCGGCCCTTAGGACGTCAAGAGGGTTTCTATAAATAACGAAGTTTTCTGATTGGCTTCAGAGGGATAAAATTCAAAGGACCAGTTATCTAAACTAAGTTTAGCCAGTGTTTCACAAAACCACAGTCTAGTCAATGACATTTTCAGTTTGCCGAACGCTTTAATGTAAGCACCATCTATCGTGAACAATTTCACAAAAGAATATGGCTTAGACTATAACAGCATTTATCTTCTTAAAATAATCGAGAAAGGAAGAGATCTGGACATCCAAAGATTTCCAAAACCGCGGTCTAAGTGAGACTTCGTTTAAATAACCGACCCAAAGTTTTTTACCTATAACCGTCAGATTAGACTGGCTTTCGTTGAAAAACAGGCCCCTAAGGGGTAAGTCAGGTAGCCATTTTTTTTGGCCATGAATATTTCTTGTTTAAATAACTAACACAAAATGCTAAGTTTGCAATATTATTATTCCTTAAAGATCAGAATGGGTAGAAATACCGGACTTAACTAATACCCTCCTTAAAGGTATTAGTCGCAAATTTCTGTCAGACTATCACACCCCTTTCCTCATCGGTTTAGCCTGCGAGCAGGCTTACTTGTGCGTGTTCGGGGAAAGTTTTGGTTAAGCGCTAGAAGAAGTTTTTGCTTCATTTCCTTGCATTGAAAACAGAAAAAATACGTTTCCGCGAAATCAACAGCAACTAATAGGGTACAAAGATGTATTTAATCCATCGACAATTAATTTTATTAAATTTGAAATTCCTGTCGCCCACCTAACTCCATTAAATTGGGCCCTAAGAGAAGTGTTAAAATAAAAACAGTTGTTTGAACTTTTCAGAAACTTTACAATTACTTTTCAATGTTTCTTTTTCATAAAAAAAAGCTTGATTAAACAAGAGTCTTTTCTACATCTCGAGTGCCAGCAAATCGTAAACTTCGTGAGTTAATCGGTTGACAATCGATCAACATGTGACCGCAATCTTTTTTAATACATTATTACTTGACTCGAGGTGTGATTACGTAATCCCTAACACTATCGGAATCCTCACAAATCACTAACGACTTACCTAGCTTCAACAGCTTGTGGAGTTTTTATTCCTAAAAAGAAGAATTTCGAGTTCATGATGCAGTCAGCAAGTACACTTATTTGCCCTCGGCCCGAACAAGAACACGCAAACAAGCATAGCAAGCGGGTCGACTTATGCTTATGCTTTAAGCTTACGCTTTAAAATTAACCTTAGTACTTTAATATTCAGTTTTAAAGATTTTAGTGCTTTAGTAATTATTGTATTTGCGTTTCATAAGGCCATAAGGGAGACTACAATCTGACTTTAATTATGCAATAAAGTGTCATTCATTCATTCATGCTTATCCTATGCTTAAGCTTTCCCAAAAACCCTTTAAATTTTCACTAACTAATATGTTGTAGCGTGTTTAACGAGGTGAAAGTGCCGTAAATTTAACCATCATTAATTATCATGATTAATTTCGCCGAGAATTCAGTTACTTCTTAATATTTGATCGTTTTTAGTTTGATCCGAGGACCTCTTCATTTGCTGATAAAAAGTATACAAATCTATATTTTTAGTTAATATAAATTAAGTAATTCAGTGCAATCTTGTCCCTTTGAAACCCATGTTTTCATCATAGTCTCGCCAGGTCAAGCGCACCTACCAATATTCCATTTATGAATCTGATGAATATTGAGTGTTTTACAATAAGCTCTCTGTATTCGATCAGATTGAAAGATTTTTGAATGGATAAAATTGCTTCGAAGACACTTGCACCAAATTCAATGACACTGAGCTGGTAGAAAATATATACTAACTACCTCATGTGTGAATTCACTGCTTATTACACATGCCAGAGTGCAGAGATGACTCGACTGTAATGACTGAAGCTTTAGCACAGGCTTCTAATGATAAAGATTATGATTTGTTATCCAGTAATCATGTTTTCAGTCTCCGGCAGTCCTTATCCAATAACGTTATATATACTACCATACCCACGAATTCTGCCGTCTGAGTGGCTAACGTTCTTATCAGAGAGATTAAGAGTCACGTTCGCGGCAAACGACAAACGTGAATCTGTACCACGTGACCAAGTTTCCCTTTAGCTGTCGTTTACTGTTCATTATAACTACACGGAAATCATAAGATTCACGCCAGTTTTATCCATAAGAAATGATCTTTAGTTAGCTGTTTCTGAAAATCTCTCCATTATCTATTGCCTGAGGGATGTTGGTAGCGAGCTGGCGTTTAAAATCAAACCACAAAAAAACTATTGCCAATTTACTTTTAACGAATCGTGTTGCGTTGTTTTGAGGACAATCAATCAATCAACTTTATTTAAACAAGGTAAATGGCTCAGCAAGCTGGTNACTATCACACCCCTTTCCTCATCGGTTTAGCCTGCGAGCAGGCTTACTTGTGCGTGTTCGGGGAAAGTTTTGGTTAAGCGCTAGAAGAAGTTTTTGCTTCATTTCCTTGCATTGAAAACAGAAAAAATACGTTTCCGCGAAATCAACAGCAACTAATAGGGTACAAAGATGTATTTAATCCATCGACAATTAATTTTATTAAATTTGAAATTCCTGTCGCTCACCTAACTCCATTAAATTGGGCCCTAAGAGAAGTGTTAAAATAAAAACAGTTGTTTGAACTTTTCAGAAACTTTACAATTACTTTTCAATGTTTCTTTTTCATAAAAAAAAGCTTGATTAAACAAGAGTCTTTTCTACATCTCGAGTGCCAGCAAATCGTAAACTTCGTGAGTTAATCGGTTGACAATCGATCAACATGTGACCGCAATCTTTTTTAATACATTATTACTTGACTCGAGGTGTGATTACGTAATCCCTAACACTATCGGAATCCTCACAAATCACTAACGACTTACCTAGCTTCAACAGCTTGTGGAGTTTTTATTCCTAAAAAGAAGAATTTCGAGTTCATGATGCAGTCAGCAAGTACACTTATTTGCCCTCGGCCCGAACAAGAACACGCAAACAAGCATAGCAAGCGGGTCGACTTATGCTTATGCTTTAAGCTTACGCTTTAAAATTAACCTTAGTACTTTAATATTCAGTTTTAAAGATTTTAGTGCTTTAGTAATTATTGTATTTGCGTTTCATAAGGCCATAAGGGAGACTACAATCTGACTTTAATTATGCAATAAAGTGTCATTCATTCATTCATGCTTATCCTATGCTTAAGCTTTCCCAAAAACCCTTTAAATTTTCACTAACTAATATGTTGTAGCGTGTTTAACGAGGTGAAAGTGCCGTAAATTTAACCATCATTAATTATCATGATTAATTTCGCCGAGAATTCAGTTACTTCTTAATATTTGATCGTTTTTAGTTTGATCCGAGGACCTCTTCATTTGCTGATAAAAAGTATACAAATCTATATTTTTAGTTAATATAAATTAAGTAATTCAGTGCAATCTTGTCCCTTTGAAACCCATGTTTTCATCATAGTCTCGCCAGGTCAAGCGCACCTACCAATATTCCATTTATGAATCTGATGAATATTGAGTGTTTTACAATAAGCTCTCTGTATTCGATCAGATTGAAAGATTTTTGAATGGATAAAATTGCTTCGAAGACACTTGCACCAAATTCAATGACACTGAGCTGGTAGAAAATATATACTAACTACCTCATGTGTGAATTCACTGCTTATTACACATGCCAGAGTGCAGAGATGACTCGACTGTAATGACTGAAGCTTTAGCACAGGCTTCTAATGATAAAGATTATGATTTGTTATCCAGTAATCATGTTTTCAGTCTCCGGCAGTCCTTATCCAATAACGTTATATATACTACCATACCCACGAATTCTGCCGTCTGAGTGGCTAACGTTCTTATCAGAGAGATTAAGAGTCACGTTCGCGGCAAACGACAAACGTGAATCTGTACCACGTGACCAAGTTTCCCTTTAGCTGTCGTTTACTGTTCATTATAACTACACGGAAATCATAAGATTCACGCCAGTTTTATCCATAAGAAATGATCTTTAGTTAGCTGTTTCTGAAAATCTCTCCATTATCTATTGCCTGAGGGATGTTGGTAGCGAGCTGGCGTTTAAAATCAAACCACAAAAAAACTATTGCCAATTTACTTTTAACGAATCGTGTTGCGTTGTTTTGAGGACAATCAATCAATCAACTTTATTTAAACAAGGTAAATGGCTCAGCAAGCTGGTTTTCAGACATGCCGTGTGATAATTACCAGTTATAAAAATTAAGACTAGGGGATTAACCAGACGACGATCGAATAGTATCCCATGATGCAACTCGTTTCATGTTACATTATCACTGTGTACGTGTACGTAATGAGCATGCATCGCAGTGTTCGATGTGTATGGTTTCCAAACATGTTTCGGTTCAGCAGCTTCTGCTTTTGAGAATATCGAGTTAGCTTATATTCATTGTGCTTTAAAGGAGAATTTCAGCGTTACTTTGAAGGGTTACATGTGTTTCGCTGATCTGTCGAGAACTGCTTGAGTGCGCTCAGTCGCAGCTACAAACACAGAGTATGAGCCTAGGCAACTGAAAGGTTTATTAGGAGAACCTAAA